GTTCCGACTCTGGCCCGAGCTCGCTGCCGGGTGGCTTCGGGGTCCCTCCCTGGCTTCCCTCATCCTCTCCTCCCTGCCCTCAGAGACAAGCTCAGGACAAATGAGATAAGACTCTGGCAGGCACTCTCGGTTTCTCTGGAATCCAAATTACATTTTCCTAAGATCATTTTATCCGCTTCAGCACCGTGAATCGGCGCTAAGCTCACTCGGGAACCAAGACACGGCACACAGGCCCCGGCAGCGCCTCGCGGGGCCCCGTGGCCTGTGTCTGTGGCCGGCCTCCTGGGACACTGACGGGCTCCCCGCACAGGGGCGTCTCTCGGAGCCCCTCCTCAGCAGACGAGCCGACGGTTACGGGCTCCGGGCAGAAAGCCGCCTTCAGCATTCTCCAAGCGCCGAGTAAGAACATCCCCCACCCAGCTTCTGAAAGGGAACCAAATTCCACGATAACAACTAACTCATAACAGGCATCATAAATTAAGCCGACAGGCGGAATATGGTTAAGTCATTTCCCTGGCCAGATCGATCCGCCTGCGTCCTCGGAGGCCGATTAAGCCTGAAATATGCGGGGCGGGAAGAAGCTTGGGAGCAGGAGGGCGGCGCTTGCTGTGGGCCCGTCCTGGCCCGAAGAGGCGCTGTCTCTCTGAGCTGGCCTGGAGCCGGCCTCGAGGACCGAGAGCGGGCGCTCTCCGGGGAGCTTCAGCGCCCTGTGAGAAGCAGCCCTGTGTGCGCTATGCCCGGGTCATCTGGCCTCATCCCAAATGCCGACCCAAGGACTGGAGAAGCTGACTGTGGCCTCAGTTCAGGGGGACATCTTGCACCCCAGCTTTAGCCTTTTGAGTCTGTTCTGGGCCGAGGATCTCAGTGAGGGGTGTTGGCAAGAAGACCGACTTTTGGGGCGGCCACTTTGGGACTGCGAGCATGTTGCGGTGACGGTGCTGGGGGAGGCTGTCAGCGCCGCCCCAGCCAGAGTGGGAGCCCCCAGAAGAGGCCCAGCCTCAGAGCGAGGTTGCGGGAGAGCGCGCCAGATGAGGAGAACAGAACGGGTGGGTCACCTCGCAGGGAGACAATCCGAACACCCCTGCAGACTCCTGGGGTAGACGATTAATCTCTCCCACCGTGCTGTCCACCGGTCACTTAGTCTTCCTGGCCCGTCGGGTACAGAGTTTGCCGTCTAACGGCAACAGCCCTGCTCTCTGGGGCTCAGTCCCTGTTCACGCGAGCCGTGGCGATCAGAGACCCCAGCAGAACGAGCCTCGCTGTCCTCGCGGCTGGGCACCCCGCGGGTTCAGGCCAGCGCCCCGGGCTGTGCCCTGCACAGGCGTGAGTTCGCCACATGCCAGAGGCCTCAAGCAGAGATGCGTAGCGGGGACCCTGAGCTCAAGCTGGGGGCTCCTCGGTGCTGCCAGCACCCCCCCCACCCCCGTCTATCTATCCACCAACCGCCTGAAGAAAGACCCCCAGCAGAGACTTAACGTCCCTCCCCAGGGATCTCTGGCACTTGGCTTCAAGAAACAGAATTTCTTATTGTAAAGTGAATTTTTCAACTCATTTCTAGGGCTTAATGAGACAGAGCCAGGAGAGTGCCTCTGCCACAGGTGTTCTGGGGTGACGGTGCACAGCGGAGGGCTGGCCAGTCCCGCTGAGGCCAGGCGGCCAAGCGACCGTCCCCCTTCCCTTCGGGTGGGATCTCGAGCAAACTGACTTACTGAAAATCAGAATCCTCTCCTGAAAGGCTTCCAAGTTCCAACTGTATTTTCCTCCGCCCCTGGCCAGGCGTGGGGCCACAGGGAGGGCCGCTGGGAGGCACCAGACGCCCGAGCCAGCGTTCATCTGACTGCAGGCAGCAAGTATGTGCTGGGCGTGCGTGCAGGGGTGCCGGGCAGGGCGAGAACCCAGCCCGCAGCCCTGGGGCTCGAGAGTCCCTGAAGGACTCGGAAAGTTGCGTGGAGGAAAAAGCAATGATTGTGAACAGTGCAACTGCCGTAGGAAAGCAGTATTTTGAAACCTGCTTGCTCCTGTCCCAGAAAATACACGAGATGCGTGAATGTCTGTGAAGAACCAAGAGAAGACCGAAGTCGGGGCTCCCTGACCTGCCGTGTGAACCAGCCACCCAGCAGCCATCATTCGAAAATGACAGCAGTCGGGGGTGGGGTCCTTCCTGCACGGGAGTGGGCTGGGGAATCCACGTGCAGAACAGACTTGGGGGCCTACGGCTGGGGACACCTCAGAAACACAGAGGCAGGGGTTCAGGGCTGGAGCTCAGCTGAGCGAACCCCCGGTCTCCCAGGGCAGCCCTGGCGCAGGCCGCTGCAAGGCCCCGTCGTGAGAGGTGTCTCTGGGAGACCCCGTAGGTACCGGCACCCCAACTGCAGTCCCAGCAGCTCTAGGCCCCGGGGAGTTGAGCAGCGATTTCTTCTGCTTACTAGAAAATCAGAAAGCTGGACACACCGCCCCATGACACCCCCGGAACGGGCGTGGGAAGGGCACAGGAGTTTCCCCATCCCCAAGGAGAGTCTTCGCTCCCTGACACCCCAAGCTGCCCCTGGGCTCAGCCCCCGTCCGAGCACGGCGACCCTCGAGAATGTCGACGACAGCGTCACGTAGAGCGGCTGCCCCCAGCCCCAGCCGCGGGGCCCCGGCGCACCTTGTCACTGTCCAGCGTGTTCTGAGAGGTGCGGGAGGCGATGGAGATGGTGTCCGGCTGGCTGCTGCCGTCTCCTTGGCTGTCCAGGTCCTCCCCGTCCCTGCAGAAACAAACGGCTGCACCTCGACACTGGCCGCGATGGTCCGTGGCTCGTGGTGAGCCAGTGGCCGCGGCGGAGACGCCGGGGTCGGAGGGGCCCCCACGGGCCAGCGGCACAGGCCAGCGCCGGGCACGGCTGCCGCTCCTGACAGCGTCCTCCCCCTTAATTCCCAGCACGGTAAGACCCAGACCACGGTAAGACCCAGACGTCCTTTTAGGAAATGAGAAACCAAGCCTCGGGTGCCCTCGGGCTTGTCCAAGGCCCAGGGCGTGATTCTCAAGGGGCAGGAGGCCCTAGGCCCGCGACCGCCCGCAGCGCGCCCGCTCACCTCCTGCCCCTCTGCCTGGCGGCCGGCGCGGTCTTGGGGAGGTGGATGGGCTCCTTCAGGGCCCCCTTCAGGTGCACCGTCCGCTCCTGGATCACCTCGCGGATGTGCTTGATCCAGTCCTGCTTGTTTTCTATGCTGGAGGCCTGAACGGGGCGCAGAGGGATCATGCTGGTCACGGCCCGAGCCCCACCAGGCCGCACGGCCCCCCACGCTCCAGGGCGCCCCGCTCCGAGCATGGCTTTCCGGCAGAAAAGCGACCACGCCCTGTGCTTAATCTGCCACCGCGGAAGCGACCGTGATCTTCAACCTTTGTTGCACCGACACCACTCCGCTCTCCCAGCGGCGCGTCCCGCTCTGGGGCCCCAGGAGCAAGCCCACCCTCCCCACCTCTGAAGCAGCACTGGCTGCACTGGAGACAGCCCTGGCCCTCCCGTACCATTCAGGCGAAGGGGGGGGGGGGTCAGTGGGCCTGCGTCTGGACTTGAGGAGCCACCCCGCCTCTCCCCCCCCGCAGGCGCCCCCAGTGGTACTGCAAGCGGTGGGGGTTTCCTAGGAGGGGCGTGGCGGCGACCATCCCCTCGCGACGCCACCCCGCAGACCAGGGTGAGGGGCCGCCCGCCACCGCCCGGTCTTGGGGTGCGCCCCAGGGAAGTGGGCCTCTCTTCTACGTGTTCTGAGCCCGAGCAACGGTTTTTAATTTCCCTGTGGAACACATCAACCGGTGATGTGTAAACACGATTCCCTGGGAAATGATGAAAACGACCTCCGTGGCCCAGCGATGAGATCACGGAGGGGCGCCCCCCGTGTTCCCACGGGTACCACGCCTTTGAAAATACCAAGTGGAAGCCCGCGTAAGAGCAAGTCAAAGTGGACGGCCCTTTCATAAACAGAATGTTTTAACTGGGGGGTCTGTCTTGGAGTGATGCAGGTACTGTAGTGACGGGGAAGTAAACCGAGGCGATGACCCGACCCCGGAGGAGGCACCAGGACAGCAGGGCGACCCCATTCTCCCGGGGCGGGGCGGGGAGCGACGGGAGGCTGCGCGTGAAGTAGGTGTCTCGGGACGGAAACCCCGGAACCCACAGATCCAGTGGAGCTCAAATGCCTGGCAGCAACGTGTGGCGGTTAAACAAAGAGACGCATCTGAGCTAGAACATTCGGCAGCTGGAGGCAATCGAGGAGAACTGTCAGAGCAGTTGAGAAGTAAAGAGACGCCTCAGGATTTAAACAGAGCCCTGGCCACTGCATCTGCCAGCACGACGCTTACACTCAAGAGCTGCAGGGCGAAAGGGAGTCCCGTGCACTGAGTCCCACGTGCCAGCCAGGAGTGGCGCAGAAGTGGCACTCTGCGTTCCAGGCAGCAGCAGCAAACAAGGCTGAACCTCCGTTTCGCAACGACTAGGCCGTAACTGTCACTTACCATCCCCTCCGCCGCCCCACCCCTGCCGTCGCCTCCTCCCGACACCATGGCCATCGCCATCGCCTCCCCCACCGTCACTCCCACTCCCACCACTCCAACCACACCATCTCCCCCACCTCCAGCAGCCCACTTCATCACACTCTCACCACCACCCAGCCCACTCCCACGACCCCCATCATCACCATCACTCCCGCCATCTTTGCCACCATCCGCACTCTGCACTACCTCCACCACCACCAAACTCTCTGCGAAGATCTCTACCACCATCATCACCTCCGCTGTCAACATCGTCACCATCACTTCTACCACGATCAAGCGAACTCTGAAGTGAATACAGACGTCGTTTCCTTTGGGCGCCTTGGGCCGCAACGCCTCGAGGGACCTTCCTGTCACGAGTCTACAGGAAATCCTCTTTGCCTGCGTCCTGAGCATCGTAACTGTGTCCTAGAGGAAACTCACAGCCGCCACTATTTTGCAGCTGCCCCCGGGGTGTGTTCTGCTGCAGTCAGTCTCGATAAAAGCTTTAAGGTCTTGCGCAAGCTTCACAACTTGACGCATCCCGTCTAGGATGCAGCTACCAACGCCATTCCTATTTCTCGGGCTCCAGACCAGCACTAGTAAGAACATACTGGTTGGCAATCACATGCTCATTGCAACAACCCTTCACCTTCATGTGAATGAGCCCGTCGGGTCCAGTGACGTCACACGGCCCTAACGCCGAGCCCCCACGCGGGGGGTCCTGACGGTAACTGCCGCGGCGGGGATACTGCCGAGGCTGAAGGAACGTTCAGACACAACCGCTGACAGGCACGTTCAACGGGCCAGAGCCCCAGTGTGCTCGTGGCTGGCTCCCCAATACTCCTCCAGTTTTCAGCTACATCGTCCCCAAAGCATCCTCAAGTCTTTCCAGGTGGCGCCAGGAGAGCCTCATTCGTGGGCTTTCGAGCGCCGAAGGGGCATTCGACACCCCAGGGCCCGGGTCCCTCCAAGCAGAGGCTGGGATCGTGAAGAGAGTCTGAGTGGCACAGTCAAAGGCCCTTCCCACCCCTCCAAATGGTATACTCACAAGCACTCTGGCTAGTTAGAACACTTTAAATCAAAATATTATTGTCCTGCTTTTAGCCCTCACATTCGAAAGACACAGCGCCTGGGACCCCACAAACACTCTGGAAACTGTCAGAGCCCCCAGCCTCATTATGTGGCTACTTTGCTTTGAAGAGCAAAGGTTGAGGACGCAACGGGAAGTGGCGGGCTGCTTCTCCTGCGCCCTCACGCCAAGCCCTGCCGCACCTAGGGGACCAACCCCATCTTTTCAAGACTGGGAGTGTCCTCCACCGATCGCTTGGTAGGCAAACAAGTGTTTAGCTCAAGTTATCACCTCGGTGGAATAACAACCTGAATTTATGCAACTAAAGAACACAAAAGAAACAAAGTGATAGGAAAAACCACTATGTTTCAACAACAGAAAAAAAAAAAGAAGAAGAAGAAAGCAGGCGCAGCCCTGAGAACCTTCTCGGGGGCCGTTCCCAAGCGGCCGAGGCACCCACCTTCAGGACGATCTTGTTATCTGAAGTTGGCGTCCTGCCCACCCACAGTGCAAACTTGCAAGCATCTCCCTCGACGTGTTCTGTGACACCCAGCTCTGAGGTCTACATCAAAAGACAATTATGTAATTAGGTGGCTGGAAAAATCTGGCAGGATAGAGAGCAGAGACCAAGAAAACAAGTTCTGGTGACTTGAGGTCAGGCGGGAATGTAACCGCAGTGGGGCCCCGTGGGCCTAAATCTCACTGCGTTCAAGGGAGGAGACTGTTCTTAGGCTCAGGCTGGTTTCTTGTTTCATTTCCTCCAGCATCTCTCAGAGACTCTGAGGCAAGTGGACCGACAAACAGAGAGGGAGAGCGCCCAGACGCCCGAGGGCCGGTGCCTGGGGTCTGGGCAGCGGCTGTGCCCAGGCCGGGGACGCACACAGGGGCCCTTCCCGGCAGCGTCCCAGAGGCAAGCGGTGTTTTGGCAAGCGAGTTCCTGCCCGGTTTGCTCAGCAGTGGCGAGGCCTTGTAGGATTTCTTCAGTCGTGTTAAGGAAGGGCCGAGAGAAGACGTTTCTCTCTGTCACGCATCAGGTGTGAGACGCAGAACAGGGAAGAGGAGAGAGGAAGGCCGGCGTGGCAGGCCTCCCCCACACCGGGCTCCCCAGCCCACTTCCCCCACCGGCGAAGGAGGAAGTGACTCACGATCCTTCAGGGACCTCTGAAGGGACCTTAGCTTTTAAAAGATAAATTAAATGAAGATGCATCAGCTTCTAAAGCCCACTCGCTGGGCCTCTGAGGGTGGATTAAAGCCAGCTAGTGAAATAACTGGCCAGCAATGCTGCACTTTTTCTCCCCGTTAGAATATGATCTAAAATGATGTAAGCCAGGCTGAGGTCCAAAGGACAACCTCACGCAGGATAGGAGCCAACGTGAAAGGCGGTATGAAAACCACTGGCTTGAATTTGCAAATTCCAGATTATTACTAAGGTGACTTTTACACTCGGAACTAATTTATCGCTCTGGTAACTAGGTTCGTGTACGGATATCATACAAATGCATAAAGCGTCCACAGTCCCGTATCTACCGGTATTCCCGAGCGGACAGCCAGACGTGATCCACTGCATTTTATTCCTTCTTGACAGAGACTGCCCCTTAGCTCTGCACCTGCCTGAGCTGCGCTCAGAGGCACGTGGGGTACGCTGGTCTTATGAAGAGGTGGCTTGGGTTTTGCTTCAACCCAAATGGCAAGAAAGTCACCAGGCGTGATTCTCTCGCCAGGACGTACACCGGTGAGTTAAATCAGAGTCCAAGTGTGTCGCTGTGCCCCTCAAGCACCCAAGGGTGGCTGTCCCAGGGAGGAAGGGCTGTCCCTCTTCAAAACTAGCTTTACCTACAAATGTGTTCTCTGCTGAGCATCTTCTACTATTGTTAAGAATCCTAAGTTGTTTTTTTTTTTTTTCATAAAAAATATCAAAGCTCACGCTCTAAGTCTCTACAGCAAGCAGCCAGCCTCTCAAGTATACTCCAGTGTTGGTGAATGAAAGGGAACTATCATTCCATAGGAGCATAACTCCGTAGGAGCGGTTCATTTCTGAAGCCACTGAAGTCACACAGGAAGCCAGGGACGCAAATTCACCTGTAAAGTGCTTTCTGATACTGCGCCTAACTTAGAAAAGCAAGTTCTGAGCCGCTCAGCCGCACGAGCGCCCCCTTGTGGGCAGGCAGCTGCCGGCGTGCCATGGAGCGAGGTTAACATGGGACCCTGGGTCCTTGCCATTCGCTGCAGGACACTTTGGGAGGTGAAACTGCAGGCACCAGGGGTTTTTCTCTACCTGCAAGAATCGCGCAACTGTGTATTCTTGAAACGAACAATTCCGAATGTCTGTACTTACAAACAGTTTGCTTTTGTAAAGGTATTTGCTTCTCCCGCTGGAATCTTTCACTTCTTTACTAAACACCAAGGACATCTCAAAAAGGAAGAGGTGCCGTTCTCGACCCTTTCGAATTAAGGTTTTTGGGTCCCACACTTGGAAGGATTCCTGCAGGATAAGTTCTCCCTGAGACTCGATATTTTCATCAAACCCTACATGGGGAAAAGGAAAAATAAAAAAAAAAGCAAAGTGAATTTGAAAGAAACATCAAACGTGACATACAAGAAGCCTCATGACTATTTACAAAACCACCATCTGGGAGTGGAGGTCCCCACTGGACTCCCGACTCCAGCGTCCCCCCGCGGACTCTCCCCACACTCTCCCTCCCCAGTTCCCCCTAAAGTGGGACCGTTTCCCTCTGGAGCGAGTCAAGCCTCCTCTTGACTGCCGGGGGGCTGTGGCTGGAGCGCATGCTTCCTTCCCACTTCACTCCCGCCCTCTGCCCGCTGCCTGCCCCCGGGCCTGCCGACTCCCCAGGATGGGGACCTGCGTTCTCGGCTTGGAACCCCTCCCCGCAACTGCCGGCCTGGCCCCCACCCCCCGCCGGCTGCTTTCTGCTCCCGGTCCTCGGAGTGACTGGTCACACGGACGGGAAGGTACAAGGCTCCACCGAGCAGGCACCGGCCAGGGGCCTCCACACTCCCGAGGGCAGCCCCTGCCCGCGCCCCGCCCCCACCGCAGTCAGGTGCAGCTAGGCCCCTACGCTCTGGGCCAGGTGGGGTCGCCTGTGTCCAGCTTCTGCCCCTCCGTGTCCCTCCCGGCTCCTGCTGGACGCCTCCTGAGCCTGGCCCTCCAGGGCACCTCAAGGGGGGAAGGAGCCCATGTCCTTGACGACGCCCCA